GAAAACATGAGGACACGTTACAGTTTACTAGAGACCATCTGTTATTGAGAGACGGGGGTCTTGTAGCTCTGGACTGGGCTGTGAGAACAAGACTGGGAGAGGCAGTAAGGAGGAAGAGGTGGGAGGGGAGGAAGGAGCATCAGCCAGGGGGAAAGGCGCTAGGCTGCTTCACCACAACACCTCCTGTCCTTCTCCTCATTCCTCAGTCCTGGGGAGGGATGACCCCCCACCTAAAGGCGCTGTGCCATCAGGCAGTGCATCAGGGCTTTTACGTGGTGGTGTTTCATGCTCGAGGCACAGCGGGGTGCCCGCTGACCACAGCACGTCTAACGGAGTTTGGAGACCCAGCTGATTTTGAGCAGGTATAGGAAGAAAATGTCAGTTACTTACATCAGATGGTGTGCACAGCTTTATTATATTGTTAAGGGGAAAGTAGATTTTTTTTTGAGATAGTGGTTTTGGTACAATGGTGAGACCATTGTAAATTTGTGGTGAAACCAGAAGCAAGCCTTTACTAATTGGTGCTTAGTATAGATCCCCTGATCAAAGTAAATTTGATCAGTTGGTGGAATAATCTTTTGTCTCCTGATTGTAAGGGTGAGGTTATAATAATCGGCGACTTAAATACAAATACAGATGTTTCAAATATGGATCATTGGATGTACAAGGTGTTAAAAATGTTTTGCCATGTTTTGGATTTACAGCAATCAGTACAAGAGCCCACACGAGTGGCTAACATGAGTCAAACTGTCATTGATCTCATCTTGGTGTCTGATCTCTCAATGATTTCTCAGAGTTGTTGTAAATTGTACCATGAATCATTAGTCTATTGTACAAGGAAAAAGCAGAAAGTTGCCTTTAAGGAACAAAATGGGGTGGTGATGGTACAGTGGATAAGACACATGCCTTTGATGTAAGAGACCCGGTTTCCATTCTCCACTGTGACACATCCAATGTGTCCCTGAGCAAGACACTTAACTCCTAGTTGCTCCAGAGGTGTGCAACCTCTGACATATATAGCAATTGTAAGTTGCTTTGGATAAAAGCGTCATCTGAATAAATAAATGTAAAATACTATCAAGATCAGGTCATTACAAAATTATAGTCCTATGGTCTTTATTGAATGTTAAAATTCAATAAATTGGTCAGAAGTGCTACGTTTGGATGAAGAAGCATGGGAGCAGTTTAAATATATGTTCCTAAAGGCAGTAGAAAAAGTTGCTCCTATGAAAAATTATTGGTGACCGAGATCTGATCCATGGATGAATGGTGATATTTCATATCTCCCTTAACCTCAATGAGAAACTTTCCTTTGATCAACTAAAGGTTGCAGATAAATTTAACACATTTTTTACATCGGTAGCTGTAAATTTAGTTGAAAAACTGCCAATAAAACCTGGGTTATATGACAGTGATATCATGCTTATGTATTATTCTCAGCTTGGAGTTGTTGTAGACTCTTTTGGCCTAACACAGGATAATGTCTTAAGGTTATTGAATGATCTTAAGTGTTCTAAAGCAACTGGTCAAGATGAAATACCTGCCAGATTTCTAGAAGATGCTGCAGAATACATTACTCCATATCTCATATTTTTAATCTTATAATCATGTAGAGTTCCAAAAGATCTGAAGCTTGCAAGGGTTATTCCGCTATATAAAAAAAGGAGAGCAAATTAATTAATAAATAAATAACTAAATGAGCAATTCAGACTTTTTTTTTTATGAATCTGGTTTTGGAGTGTACTCAACAGCTACGTGTTTATCATTTCTATCAGACTTTATCAGAAAAGAGATCAACTTGGGTAAATTTTGTGGCATGGTACTGATAGACCCTCCAGAAAGCCTTTGATACCTCTGACCATCAGATTTTGCTAATTAAACTAAAATCCCTAGGTTTTAATAGTATGGCGCGTGAATGGATTCAATCATACTTGACTGGGAGGCGTCTATGAGTTTTGAAAGAGTTTAAAAAGCACTCTGTCTGAGGCCAGAGAAATAATAGCTTTAATTCAGCCTCACTTTGACTATGCCCGTACTGTACTTCATCATACAGTAAAAACTCAACTAATTTACCTGACGCTTTTATCCAAAGCAACTTACAATTGCTACATATGTCAGAGGTCGCATGCCTCTAGAGCAACAAGAGGTTAAGTGTCTTGCTCAGGGACACAATGGTGGATGGGTTACAACGTGGAGTTGAACCCAGGCCTCTCACACCAAAGGCATAGTCTTATCTGTCTTATCTCAACAACAGGACTCATGCATGCTCTTTTGAACTCAAGGAATTAAAATGCTTGATGGTTGAAAACAGGGTGAGGCAGCTGAAACTGAGACAAAAGATTTTGCAGAGGAATGAGCCAAGGTATTTTATAGAATATTTTAAGCTGTTAGGAACACCCATAGCTACTCAACTGGAGGCAGTGCCTGTTCCGGGTAAAACACCTTTTTGTACACGGCAGCACTGGAATGGAACAAACGTCCAGACGAAAGAAAAACAAGTCAGTCAGTTTGCTGTTTTAATCCCGCATGTGATGAATGGTTGTTAAATTAGATGGAGTATTTTTTATTAATGTAATAATGTGTTGCTCCTTGTGTGAGAACCCCAGGTGTAAATGAATGTATTTGTTTGTTGTTGTTGTTTTATTTGTATCAGGATGTGTAAGGGTTTTTTTTATTTGAATATTGTAAGGGTTGATTGTACAGGATACCTCCAGTCATCCATAGCTTGCCATGCTATCTTTATCAGACGACAACGAAGACCACAATTGAAATAAGTTTTTAACTTTTTATCCTTGTCTGTTCTGATGAATGTATATTATCACCATAATTTACATTTTTTTAATGCATTTATTTGTGTTACTGTCCAATAATAAAATAAATAAATTAAAAATCCAACAAGTAGCCGATTAATTGAAGGACAGCACTGTCCTTAGGTATGAGTATGACTGGTTGTTTGTCAATGTGTGGCCCTGCGATGGATTGGTGTGGTGTACCCCGCCTTTCGCCCGATGCCAGCTGGGATTGGCTCCAGCCCACCGCAACCCTGTATGTAGGATAAGCGGTTGACGATGGATAGTTAAGTACAGCTGAGGGTGATGAAAATGTAATTAGTATTGCAGGTATTTGCTCATATAAGTTTATTTAGTCAATTTTGACCTCATGATGGCACTACATGAATATTCAAGGGGTCACCAAAGTTTTTAGGGTTCATCCTCTGGGGACCATGAATGTCTGTAAACAATTTCATTGCAATCCATCAGATAGTTTGATTTATTTACTTACTTCTATTATCTATTTCAGTGTGAGCATGGCTAAAACTGACATGTTGTTCATTCAATTTGTTTTTGTCTTCTTTACCTGACAGTAGGCCTAAAGAAATCTTTGACATTTTCCATTTTCAGGCAGTGGCTTATATCCACAGCCGACACCCGTCCTCTGTGCTGGTTGCAGTGAGTGAGGGTTCAGGCTCAGGTATTCTTCTTTCCTACTTGGGGGAGTGTGGATCGAGTTCATACCTCACAGCGGCTGCTGCCATCTCACCTGTACTCCTGGGCCAACTGTGGTTTGAAACCGCCATGCCTCCCATTTATCGCTGGGGGATTTTGTTTCACCGGAAACGGCAGCTCAGCAGGTGAGAAAAATCAAAATCAAAATGTATTAATAGCAGTTACAACATGAAATCAATACGTATAAATGATCACTAAGATCATAAAAAAAAAATCTTGTTTTTGTTTATTCACATGGTACTGTCATAAGATACTTGAGTTCCTTTAGAGCAGTCCTGGATGTGGATCGGGCCCTCAGCTGTTCATCCCTCAGAGACTTTGAGGAAACTATTTCCTGCTCTTCCGCCCAGCTTCAGCAGAGGGACCCTAGACCTCCTGTAAGCTCTCAAAATTCAGGACTGGGCTCAGGATCTCATTCCCCGCAGGGTCTGGCACCTTCAGTCCTCTGGGCACTGGGCGAGAGGGCTTTCCCATCCAAGAACTGGGACAGCTACTGGGAGCGAAATGAACCACTAAGAGATGCAGATGAGGTGGCGGTCCCTGTGCTCTGTATCTGCAGCCGCGACGACCCTCTCCTTCCACCAGCTTCCACTCTACCCCTCTCTCTTTTCCAGAGCAATCCTTACTTCCTCCTGGCATTGACAAACAGAGGAGGGCACTGTGGCTTCACTCTGGAGGGCCGAGAAGAGATGAAGGGAGGAAGGACTGGAAACGAGGAGGTAGAGGAGGGCAACTGGAGTCACATTGCAGTTCTGGAGTACTTCAGAGTAGTGGCCGATTTCCTGAAAGGCGAGGAGAGGGACAGGGTGAGCTGTGCTGGTCCACAGGGAGAATACAGTCAGGCAGGGCAGAGGAGCAGGAGCAGCAACATGGCTCCAACTCGCAGGAGGAGAGCCAACATGGTGAGGAGACCAAGACTGCAGGCACCTGAGCAGATCAGTGTGTATGCAGAGGAAGATAACTTCACCTGGAAGAGGTCCTACACACGCTGAGGAGGAGATGGTGAAGGATGAGCTCTACAGAGAAATGTTTTATTTAGCTGGAGTTTTAAAATAATGATAGGACAGTCCTTTAGACAAGAAGAAAACAGGGGCAGTGGACAACTGTTTTTGGACTGGACATCATTTTTTGATTTCTGAAACAAAATTAAAATATCAATTTTTCTTTACTGAGTGAAATGAGTAAAACTGATCAAGATGTCACATGACAATTGGTAAAAACAACATGGCTTCCCTTGTTTGAAACTCCAACAATAATTCTTTGAAAATGTAAAAAAAAAAAAAAAAAAAAAAGAAGAAAAAAAATAATAATCATTTTGTAATCAATCAAGGATTTTGAAGTCTTTTTTTGGCTGGGCTTTAGAGATAAGTGTAGTATGAATTAAAATTGTATTACAAGACCGCAGGCATTTATAAAAACAATATACATAATTCAAATATGTACGCTGACATTCAAGGTCACACTCCTCCCACATAAAAACACTATGGGACAAAGAAATATTAAAATTACTTTATTACAGATGATTCTTTATCCAGTAGCCCTCTTCCAACAAAAAATAGTAATTACAAACAAAATATTACATTTATCCCCTAAACTTTGTTTCTGAATTTCTTTTATACATTTTAAATCACTTTATCTCTTGTATGGAATAGCTTTTCTCTTCTGCTATGCAACATTCAGCTTTTTGCACAATCTATACAATTTAATACAGTTTAATACAGGTCTCTGGACTACGGAGAATAAAACAGCAAGATCCACCAAATGACAGGAGAAATAAAGGGAATACTGATAAACAGACTGTACAGAGACGCAACCCTGCCTCCCGCCTACTTTCAGCCAATGGCAGCTGCATCACAGTAGACTCTTTGATCTGGTAAATCACTTGTGCAATCAGTGCAACTGATCCAGTTCAGAGTGACCAAGGTCTAAAGCTAAACTCTGCCCCGACTGCCTCGCAAAACACCTGGGAGTTCTGGTAAACACAAGCCAAGGTCTAAAAGTCTGTCACTCATTTGACCCTCTGCGGACATCATCTGGAAAATAAAACTACCCTTTCTGGCATAAAAAGGAAATAAATCTGCATGGAACTGAGAAAAAATGGTAAAATGATAAAATATGTTGAGTACATGGCATCCTGGCTGAAAAGAGAAGTGGGGCCACCACTTCTGGGTCTTTTTTCTCTTTTTAGAAAACAGCAGGGTTTTAAATTCTGAATCCACAGTGGCAACAATTTAAAAAAAGGCAAATACTTAAATGGATTATGAAAATGCTTTGAGTATAAACCAAACTAAAGAGGGTGGGTGTTTCACAAATCAGAAATGAAAGTCCAAATAATATCAGTGGACCCCACAAATCCCCTTTGGAGATCTCAAACAGATATATTTTCACTGACTTGTGCAGGAATATGGAAACAATTTCAAGTTGTCGTGTTCACTAAAAGTTGTTTAGGCAGCCAACTGTTTTAGAATTCAGCAGTTTCTCCTCAGATTGTATAGATCTCTGAAAGACAATTCTTTCTTTTTCTAAAAATCCAAACCTAAAAAGAATTTTCAGTAAAATATAGCCATTGCTATACTAAGTAGATTTCAAATTATGTGCAAAATCATCCTCATTTAGCATTAAACAAACTGTTGCCATGTACTGACCAAGAGTTGTGTGGTTATCATTCACAACAGAATATCTGTAACATGTCTCAGAACTCGCAGCTGCATGTAGGACAGTGAAAATTCTGCAACTGTAAGCTGCTGCTCTCTAAACACATTGCTGTGTCCGCCTCACAAATTTGTCTTTGATTTGTCAATTAGATTTCCATATTTTCAAATTCAAAATATACAATATTAACAGGTTTCCTGTACATTCCACCTCTGAAATACATACAATGCATAATCTCTGCATTTCACAATAAGACATCCACCTTCATCTCAATTTGTCTATAATCCTTCTTTTTTCTAGATTTATTTAGATGTATTTTTTCCCGCCTTCTTCTTCTTTTCTTTCACTTGAAGAGCTCTTCCCAAGTAGATCAGGGAGGGGGTGAAGACCACACTGGGCTCAGGAGCAGAGGAAACAGAGGTGGAGGGAAGGAGGGGACATCGGTGGTCAGAACATGACATCAGGGTCACCAGGGGTGAGACAGAGCGGGGTGTCAGACTGGGGAAGGTTGCAGGGGCATGGCAGCGGAGATCACAGCATCACCGCCCATCAACCCAGAGAGACATTCAGCAGTCACTAACCAGCAGAGGGCTACTGAAGCTCCTCTTTCACGCTCCCTGCTCGTTCACTAGAACTCCAGCTCCTTAAAGTGATCTTATTTTAAAAGTCAAAAACAACACACAGGGATGTTCTTAGGCAACTGAGATGGATATAGTTGCCCAGAGTTGCCCTGATACACGGCCAACTGATAAGTTAGCCGTTAGTTTTCAAAACTTCTGTTTTTTAACACATAAATGTCCGAATCCCATTTTCACAAAATGTCCCCCTGTACATGCATTCAGCAGATATCAGTGTGCAAAGGGACATACTGATATTGATGGGGGGAGAAAAAAAAAATCAATTTCTTTTGTATGTATGTGTGTGTAAATATGTCTGATTAACATAAGTGTGGGGTAGAAGGCCTGTGCCAAAGTGCAAATCATTGTCAAGTCACGACACCTTGTGGTGAAGCTGTACTTGAGGTAGGTCAACAGGCACGGTTCGACTTGTCAAAGAAAGTTTTTTTTTTTTCCTTTTAAACTGCGTAGCGCATCATTTTCAGTGACATACACATTTGTCAAATTAGATCAGAAAATTACTGCAAACAAGCGAAGACTGAACACCAGTTTTGAAACCAATAAAGCAGGAGGTAAGGTGCTGCTGAAAACCCATCCCTGTCATGAGGGCTGTGCACTTACACAGCTGCAGCATCCCCTGCATCCCGGCAGCCCACTGGGCAGGTGTGAGTGACGGTCTGTGGAAACCCAAGAGCCCGAGCCAATGAGGCCGAGCACTCGCTTCTCTCTCCTGCAGTCCAGCAACACATGCGTCTACTTGGCCACATAGTATTATACTGATCTTACACTGACATCTCTGGCACAAACCCAGTTAAATACATAACAGTATGTTGGCATGAATTATTCTAATGACAAATCTGACTCCACACTCTCACCCTTTGGCATCTTTGCAGCTCTGCTCACAGAACACAATAACACCAAACTCCAGGGAACTTCGAAGCCATGTGGCATTAAGATCTGCGAGTATGCGATTTTTCATTTTAATCAAACACTGCACAGGTGATCAGATTTGCACTCTGGTGGAGGATAAACTTCTCAATAGTCACTCAGGCTGGAATGAAATATTGCTTACTTTTTTAGCTATCACATCTTAGCCATCCCTGTGACACTAATATAAAGTCAGATACCCACTGGTGCTCACTTACAACTCTTTTCATTTTCCACTCTAGTCCTGTCTGTTATGAAACTGTCTGTTCTGTAATAACTCTGAATTCAGACCCCTACATTACCTCCTGCCTTCTCATTTGCTTGCAACATTGCACATTAACAATAATCTCATTTAACTTATCAGTAAGATGTATGTGCTGAAATCTTCAGCTGTGTGTGGTTTGAAGGAAAAAAAGAACACATTTTTAAATAAAATTGTCACAATTGCACACTGACTGCAAATTTTCCCATAAAGCACCTTATTGTGCTACCACAACATCTGGGAGTATTAGATTAACCCCACATGTATAAAACAGCATACTGCAAACGACTATACGATAATAAACTCCATGGTAGACAATATGAATATACTACTTTGCGTCTATGGCAATAGAGACTAACATGGCAAATATAAACATATAAAACAGCACTGTGAGCTACAGTGAAAATCACACTATTGCAATGTGGCGTACTGTATATGGCCTCATTTAGTCACGTCATTTAGTCTCGAGACTTTTGGGTTTCCACAGACTGCTGCTAGCAGTACACTGATGTAAGCGAGAAGTGGTGATGAGAGAGGAACTGGGCTGAGGTAAACCCAGTCTCAGTACTGCAGTCTGTGTGTGTTTCAGACGTACAGATGAAGTGTATGTGAAGCATGTGTGGTGCATGCATGGAGTGTGGCTGTGTACAGTGTTACCTCGGTGTACAAGGATTTCACTTTAAGACAATTATTGTGTTGCTTGTGTTCTAGGTGTACGACAGGTGGGATCCGTTGGAGATCTGAGAGGTGATGCTCGCGCTCCTGCTCATGCCCTGTTCATTCCTCCCCCCTGATGACGTCCTCCTCATAGCCTGCGGGCTGTTCCTCACCCCTCCTGCGCCTCCCCCGCTCCCCCCTCTGACTCCCTCCTCCGGGGTGGTGGAGGCTCCAGGGCGGCGGGCCCCCAGCCAGCATGGGGTGACCCCAGGGCTGCTGTGAGCTGGAGCCCCCCTGGTGATGATGACTATGGTGGCTGCCTCCTCCACCTCCTCCAGGCCAGTGGCCTCCCCCCTGAGCCCCCTGGCTTCCTCCACCTCCCCCCCCCCAGCCCCCCTGGGAATCGGGAGCCAGGTTAGTGAGCACCATGTTGCTGAAGCCCAGCCTCATGGACTCCGAGTCAAAAGCCTCGATCTCTCGGGCCTGGCGCTCCAGCAGGGAGCGGATTCGCTCCAGACGCTCGTTCTGCAGGGCAAGCATTTCTTCCTCAATCTAGGGAGATAAATACAGTGAACAAATGAGTTCAAAATAAATTATAATTAATAGTGCACAGAGACAAATTTTTCTGATTTGAAAGGACAACAAGTTAAGGTTTTGTTTGAATAAAAACTAATAATATGAAGAATACTACTTTCTTCATATTATTGAGAAATAAAAGGAACATTTTCTCCCAGAATAATAAAAGTATAATTAGAAAACACAATATAGCAAAACAAATAACAAAAACAATTCACACTTGATACTGTACTATTTATAACCACTCTTAAAATCACTCAAGGGAAAAGACTAACAGCTATTGTGAGTTCTAAACAAAACACATTTATCAGTATTTTGTCACATCATCAAGAATATCATGATCGCAGAAATACCCTGAAATATCGTGACACTATTTCTGGGCCACATTGCCCACCCCTGCCCCTAGTAGGGTTGCACAATTAATCAAATACTGATCACGATTACGATTTTAGCTTCCCATAATTAAATGAACATGATCGATGGCAATATCACCGTTTAAAAAGCGTGCTCCACTCATGGAAAACTCTGCTGCATATCAAATCGGAGAGTGCTTCCTTAACTATTAGCCAAGGGGCCGATTTGGCTGTGTGTGCACTCTCCTGCTGCTACAGTCCAGAGTAGTCCACTAGTTTGCATATGTCCGCTGTGCCGCGGCTGCCTGAGCTGGTCGCGGTCAATGCTTGGGAGTCCATCAGATGCAGCTCTCGGCTACGCAACGAAAAAGTTTATTTTTGACAGAAGCCATGTCAAGCTGCACAGAGCAGTTACTAATGGGCAGGAAATCTGACACGAATGGTATAGAGAATCCGGTCAATTTTCAAAATAAAACACAGCCTACTTAATCATAGAAGAAGCACAAAAATCAAGCACCGATTACCAAATCAACAAAATCTAAAAGTCAGCCAAATCAGGCAGGCAAAACGCTCTGATTCTGAAATGCTCCCTGTGGGATATGCAGCCTTGCAGACAACCGGGAAAAAAAAATGAGTCGCAGAGAGCCGTTACTGGTAAGCAGAGTAGAAGCCATAGGTAGAAACACAAATAGGACAAAATAACAACAAGACAACAATGTGCTCAGCTCCTGAAATGCGTCTGAGACGCTTCCAGTGGAAGTTAACGGGATAAAGCCGTGGCTCAGCAGTAGCCGGACTCAGTGGACTTTTGAAAGTGCAAAAAAAATTGTTGTCCCTACAATCAATGAATAATCGTGATCTCAATATAGATCAAAATAATTGTGATTATCATTTTTGCTATAATCGTGCAGCCCAAAACATAGAATTAGTGTCTACTGTTACTCCCAAATGTATTGACACACATTCTGACACCAAACACCACAACACAAAGTCAGGGGCCTCTCGTACTTTCTGCTCCAGCAGAGCCCTCCGCAGAGAGACCCTCTGCTCCAGCTCCCTCCTCTCCTTGTCGTGCTGAGCGTCTGTTTGCATCTTGATCTTGCTCTGGTAGGCGTTGAGCAGCTCTAGCTCCTGCTGCAGCTGCATCCTTAGGACCTGACACTCCCCCTCTTGAGCCTCGTCTAACCGCAGCTGAGGGCAGGAAAGGGAACAAGAAAGAAAGCCATTATACAGAGAGAAAGATGATGCACCATGATATATGTTTTAGACCAAACTTCAGTGACCTACAGGAAGAGAGATCTTTGAGGAAGCCATAAATACTAATAATTTGATTGTCATGTAGGACCTACTGACAACAAGTAACAAATTCATACATTTAAAAGGCTCTCTCTCAAATTTAAGGATTTTAGTGACTTTTCAGGACTCATTTTGTTAAATTCAATGACTTTACTTTGGGATGTGCTGAAGCAAGACAGGACAGATACTTACCGTACCCGTATATGGACCACAATGTGTTGAGCACAGGGTTTTGAAAAATGTCGGGCGTCGCTAGTTGCCATCAAATGCATTGTATGGTTCTTAGTCTTGTTTAAAATGTTCTTAAATTAGATACTTCCAGATTTAAATAACTATTTTGCTCATTTAGACATTTTATAATGTTCTCGCACAACTGCTCAGGTGTTGATAAGTTTTGAGAAGTGTTGTATTGTATTTTTTTTTAGAAAAAAAAAAAAAAAACATTTTGTAGAAAACAGGGATGAAACGATTACTAGTTTAACGATAAACCATGGTCAACTTCCCGAGATTTATTATTACTGCACACATTGTAATTACCATGATAACTGGGCTCGGTTACTGTGTTGGGTCAATGACAACACGGTGGAAGACAGCACTGCGGAGATTTTTCAGTCACTCTGAAGTCTGGTCGTATATTAGTTTTTATGACAGCGCTAAGGGAAACTTGATTGAAGAAAATGACCTTATAGTGAAGCAGGGTAAGTTAACTTTTAGCTTTGATTTGACTCTGACTGTGTGCGGCCGTTGTGTGTCTGCAGACTCTATTTGCCCACTGCTTATGATAACACATAATGCAGTTTAGTCAACCAACCAGCATATCCTGTTCATTTTTAATCCAGCAGCTATCAAATTAGTTATAAAAGTGTCAGAACAGCAGAAACGCTATAGACTCCTCTGTATTTATGGCAGCTGTTGGGCTCATTGCACTTAACTATCACTGTCTTCTAAAGACTTTTGTTTTCATGTAATGGTGCATGGGGTCATTGCATTACCTATATAATATAAAATCTTGATAATGATAATGCACACTTAGATGATTTTCATATGTTTACAAAAGGTATTTGCTGTTATTTTAATGTTTATGCACTAAATGGCAATTTTATTTGTAGTTTTCAAAATAAGAGTTGTTGAAATGGTTTCAGTGTGTGTACCGTGATAATACTGATAACCTTGATAATTTGGGTTACTATAATCATGATAAGAAATTTTCATATCCTTTCATCCCTAGTAGAAAAACATTTTTCAGTTTGTTGATATGAGGTATTGACAATGTATGTTTTGGTATTGGTTGTAGTATTGGAACTGGTACTGAGAATATCAAACGATTCCCAGCCCAGATAAAAACTGAGTTTAAAACAACGTGACTAAATGAGGACATTTTCGTATTTATGTTTCATAAAGTTTTTAGGCCTCCTCTTCGGGTACTCACAGCCTGCGTAGAGAGCATTTCATTGATGGAGTGGTCGTACTGCTCGGCCAGGATGGCCAGCTTCCTGGTCTGCTCCTCCTTCAGCCTCTTGAGCACGGCCTTGTGGTCACACTTGGGCGTGGTCTCCAAAAGATGGTTCCTGAGAGCCTTGTACTGCCTGGTCTGGGTTTTACAAGTCTCCTGGAACTGCTTCTTAATCTGAAGCTCCTTAGACTAAAGTCGACAGAAGGGAAAGAAATGATGATGTTGAGTGAGTGCGTTTGGTTTGCTGTAGTTTCAGTAACAGAGCTGCAACCATGAGAGTTTCTACCTTGAGGCTCTTGGGCTGCTGTCGGACCTCCATGACATGCTTGCGCCTCAGCTCTCTCTCCCTCCTCTTATTGTATTCCAGCTGGTTGGTGAGCTCTGTCTGGTGCTGGGTCCGGATCAGCTCTGCCCGTGCCTTTTGGATTGAACCCAGGTGCCTGAACTCCAGCTCCTGCATTGACTCGTGATGCCTGAGCAGCATGGCGTGCTCCAGGTCCTTCTGTGTCTGCCGTTTGTTCAGCTCCTGGAAAAAAAAAGAAAAAAAAAAACAAATAGGAGAAAAGTGTGGGTGACAGAAGTCAAATAAATAAAAATCAAACAAAATAGGAAGAGTGGAGGGGGTGGTTGCTGATTCTCTCTGTGCAACTAAATACCTCTCTGGCCAGATCCTGCTCCACATTGTGTCTGGCAATGAGGATCCTGCGTTTGAACCGCCGACACTCTAGCTCCAGGTACTGCCTCTGTCTCCTCAGCAGGTTGGCCTCCTCCTCGGCCTGGGAAGTGACATAAGCATTACAATGCTGTACTGTAATGTATACAAATTAAAAGTAAATGTATATGGGTAATAAAGTTATGGGACACTGATCTTGAAAGCTAAGCAGGGTCAGGCAGCGTTAGTACTTGGCTGGTAAATCACATTTTGTTAATGTCACAGATTATATTGACTGTAAATTCATTGCCAGGCCTGTGTAAAATCATCATCTGGTCTTTGGCTTGGCAAGTGTACATGATGTCTGAGAGATCCTGACCTGGAAGTGCTGGATGTTCTCTTTCTGCTTGGACAGCCACTCCTGCTTCTCTTTCTTGGGAGTCGACTGGTTCTCGCTCAGTTCCTGCCACACAGGTGTTATTTGGTTTGTTTTCAGTATGTCAAGGCATTGTCACTAGTGGGCTTTATGGCTATTACAGTTTGTCATCATTTAGCAACGGGCAGAGAGCGCGCCCACAAATGTTCTTGATGGATTTTTTTCAACAGTCCAAATAAACAAACAGATGCTTCAAGCTCTGTATTCCTCAGTGTGTGTTGGAAACTAATTGGTGTTGGTGTTGCTGCAACTAATTTGATAATAATTTAATTATTCATTTTTCAATCAAAAATGATCTGGTTCTAGCCACTCAGTTGTGAGTGTTTCAGCATTTATTTATCTTGGGTTCTAATAAACTCAATATAATTAGGTTTTTGACTGATTGTCATACGAGACGACATTAATGTGGGCTTTGAGAAACAGAGATGAATATTTTCACAATTTACTAAACATACCAGGGCAATTTAGTCTGATTTTGCAACCATTTTTGTGTGTCCCTCACTGAACCTCAACAATCCCTCTGGTCATGAAAGAAGAAATAAAACCCACAATGAGTTACAACAACAATCAGGTAAACGTGTGTTCTCTCCTCTCCAAGTTTGATGTCAGCAAACAGTAACGTTAAGTTGATGTGCTAGCTTGCAAGACACACAGACTAGAAAATCTAGTCTGTTAGCTGGGCAGCACATCCATTGTCTGTCTTGCTTGTCTGACTTCCAGGGCTGCGTCCTCTGACTTTGTGCCTGACAAAAGTGAGAGTGAAATTCAACCACTTTTTTTACGTTTGATTACCGGCAACAGTGTTTATAAACTTCAGCTCGGAAAACTATCCTGTATGTTCTATTCTGTAGAGGTCGACTTATTCATAGACCGACAGATGGAGCCAAAAGTTTTGAAGGATTGTAGCTGAAGCACTGTGTCAGGTGTGACTGTGTGGTAATGGCATGGATTACATGGCTCACAGATCAGTGTTACCTCTTTGAGCTGCTCCTTGCGTAGTTTATACTCCCGCTTCTGTGACTCCAGGAAGCTGCTGAGCTCCTTCTTCTGCTGCACCTGGATGTGCTGCTGAAACTTCTTCTCATCGTTGGTAAACGTCTTTAGCTACACCAAACAAAAACGTTGAGTGTGAGACAAAAAATTACTTGCTTCAGCTTGCAGGAACATGCTTTGAGAACAGGAATAGTTTTCAGCACAGACATAAAGCATGTAAAGTATCAGCAGGTGTGTTTTTCTTGAATCGTTTGTCCACATACGTCTTTGTCCAGGGCTGCCTGGTGTTTTTTGAGCAGCTTCTCCATCTCCTGGGTGAAGTTGTTCCTCTGACTCTCCAGCTCTTTGTCCAGCCTCAGCCTGTGCTCATCCATCTCCCCTTTCAGCTTGTTCTCCAGGGCCATCAGGTGCTTCTGATGTTGCCGTCTCATGCGTTTGTATCCCGACATCTGCTCCCGTAGCTCCGAGTCCTGCTCATGCTCCTGCATCTCACGGGTCACCTACAAGACGTGGATGCAGGAGAGATTCAGCAGAGTCCATTTAGATTTAGCTTATTTAAAAAGTATGATAAAATACAGAAATGTGACTTGGTGTTTGTAGAGAGGGATAAACACATCTTACTCAAGTGTGTAGGTATAACAGCAATGTTAAAACTATAAGTGCTCTACATTTAACAGAGTCCCTTTTGTCAAACATAAACCAGAAAATACCTGCCTCTTTCTGCTACACAGACACTGATAAATGACTTTAGTGAGTGAGATGCATGGAGGAGAAAGCAAGTGTGTTCTCACGAGTGACGCTGTGCGTATGGTAGCAAAGTGCTCCCTGTTGCGGTAGTGCTTCCTTGGGGCCTGAGCTGCTGTTGGCTGCGGCTCAGAGGGTTGACTGGTGGCTGCCTGCTCCCCAGAGAAACTCTCCTCTTCTTCCTGGAGACATAAGGCAGCGGAATAAATATTAGCTGTTATTGTATTTAACAGTACACACACAGAGAATAGGAGGCATTAGGGGCATGGGAAGGTTTGGGATAAAGCGAGAAAGAGATCAAGACAGAACAGAAGAGATTCAGAAACAAATTTGTACACAAGTGTCACATAAACATTTTTATCACAAAGTGTTGTCTAACTCTGAATCGTCTCAGACTGCTGTGAAAAAGCTCCTCATTAACTGACATGTTTCTCCACCAGTGTTTTTGGGGGTGTGCCACACTGGCTGCTAGGCAAGCACTATGACGTGTGTTACATAGAGAGGCAGATAGTTTATAGAAGCAAAGGCTGGACTACAAACGAGCCGTTTTCAGGCAGTTCAGGAGCAGTGTTTTCTGTGGGAGATGGTACCTCCCTTTGGGGTGGACTTTTTCACTTTGCAAACCTATTACATGCACAAAAAAGATATAGAACACAATAACGTAAAGGGAAAAAGCCGAAAGCATAACTTGACCTCTTTACTCAATAATTAAATACGTACTTCCTCTGTGTCTGTGTCACTTTACCCACCGGTTTGAGGTGTATGACGGAGCTGTTGGACATGACTGTGTGGTCTCCCTCCATCAGGTCCAGCTCACTGCGGCTGTCCTGGGCCGCTTCGTTCAGACTGTTGACAGAGCTGCTCTGGGAGCTGGCGCTGATGGACATGCTGGGGATGGACTGATTACTGCCGACACTGTTCACCGTTCCTGTCCGACCACCACCCGGCTCCAGCTCCTGGAGACAAAACAGTGCAAAGACAGAGAGAGAGACAGCAAGGCAGAGAGAAAGAGCCAGAGAGGGAAAACGAGAAATACACAGACAGACAGACAAGCATACAAAACGACGCATGCTTGGTTATTTTCTCTGCACGGTGGAACACCATGAATGTGGCAAATGTACTTCTGTGCTCAAACCACCCGCCACACAAACACTTATTCTACCACCATTGCTTTAGTTTCCACACACCTCGTCTCCATCCTGGGCTTCTGCTGTGGGTCCGTTGTGGGCCTCCTGAAGGAGGATCTTCTTCATCTTACGGTACTGCAAGTTGTCCAGCTCCCGCACTGCATCCTTGGTCCTCTGAATAAGATCCATCAGCACAGAGTCTGGACGTTCACGCTGCAGAAACGCATGCTGGAGGGGAGGGAGACAGGGAAGGAAACACAAAAAGATCATGAATCGAGAAGTCAAACGGCGAAGGGGACTGACCATGAGGAAAACACAATCAAATTAACTAGTGTTACTGAAATATAAGGCTTTAATAGACCGGTTTCTGCATCAACATGTGAAGTTGTCTTTGTGGCATAAACTACACAAAATCACAAGGAACCCTCCCACTTAGCTCAGAGTGCTGAATTAGCTTTTAGCATCTGCTATCTGTCCAGAGCCATGGAGGCAGTGTACGGTTGTGCACCAAAACTGCAGAAAAATGGCCTGATTTGAGGTAGGACACCTCTCACTGTTACTTAATGTCCATGGCCATTTATTTAATATTGCTAACATTTGTCAGACTCTATGACCAATGTTTAGAGTTTCAGAGTGTGATTTGGTGGCAGCTGATAAAAGGTGCAGACTGACGGCTTTGGACGGAAAACCTATCACATATAATTTTTTCGAGGAAACACCAAACAAGCGAGCAGATTCTCTTTTCTTGATGATGTTTTCCACTACAGTCCTCTAATATGAAGTTAAGGTAACATATCTTGTATACAGTATACTGTATCTAGTGTCTAGTATATTTGGTCTGGTACATGCTGTTACTAACAATATTCAGAATGAGGGAGCTTCTGTGCTCTTAACATATGCTACTGTTGATAGCAACATCACCTTTACTGTCTGTACCTCTGTGTATATTGTGTAGGCCGCCTCCCTCCCCTCTCTTTTTCTCTCTGTTCCTCTCTTGCCCTCTCCCTCTCCCGTCGTCTCTCTCTCTCTCTCTCTCTCTCGCTCTCTCTCTCTCTCTCTCTCTCCTTCACCCCCAACCGGTCGAGGCAGATGGCCGCCCACCCTGAGCCATGGTTCTGCTCGAGGTTTCTGCCTCTTAAAAGGAAGTTTTTCCTTGCCTCTGTCGCCTAGTGCTTGCTCTTGGTGGGAATTGTTGGGCTCCTGTAAATAGCATCACAGAGTACGGTCTAGACCTCCTCTTTTATGAAAAGCGCTGTGAGATAACTGTTGTTGTGATTTGGTGCTATATAAATAAAATTGAATTGAATTGATGGTTTGGGGCATACGCAGTCACTTCTCACTACCTGAAAATAGCTAACGTCATGTAGTCTGGTTAGCCCTATTACTCCAGATCAAACAGATGCATATTAACATGTGGCGTGTAGTAAAAACAAGTGCCATATACACATTTAACTCTAAACAGTAATTTTACTGGTTTCCAGTTTGTTGGTCTATTTCTAAACACTGAAAATGTCCTTACATAAGTAGAGCTGCAATGACAACCCGGTTAGTTGTCAACTATTAAAGGAGACGTATATACTGCTTTTCCAGTCCTATATTGTAGTTCTGTGACTCCTGTATGGCAGCTTTGCATGAGTCAAAGTTCAAAAAGTTCTATCTTATACTTGCTCGTCATGTAGGCCTTCATTTCAGCCAACCTGTATGAAACAAGCTGTAGATGCTCCTGTGTCTTTAAGGCCCCCCCTCTCAAAGCCCACTGTATTCAGATTGGCCAAGACCTGAAGCATGTTACCAGGCTGTTGTGCGGTACAGACAGACTGAGCATAGCTGCAGTGGTGGAAAGTAACAAAGTACAAATACTGTACTTTACTTGAGTATTTGTAGTTGTTGCAACCTTTTACTTTCACTTCGCTATATGTCAAAGCCAAATATCGACTTTTTACTCTGTTACATTCTGTACAAGACCTCGTTACATTGGTATTATTAGCCTATGCAGCGCACCTGAGTGGACCAGCACTGAAAAACAAATGTAAAACTGATAAAGCCGACTTGGCTCAAATGAACTTCAGCCAGCTGATGACACCGGCAGAGCTGGATGGCTCCGCCTCATATTCCTATCAAAGGTGAAAGGTTTAAAACTTTCATGAGAGGATGAAGAGGGTCTATCCTTCTAGGCACGAGAAGAGAAACTCAATGAGAGTGAAGAGCGGGAACAGCAGTAGGGTAAACTACTTGTGTTCTCTCCTCTCCAAGTCTGATGTCAGCAGATCACACTTAGCCTAATGTGCAGCTGAAGTGAATCTGTCTGTCCGTCTGTATGCCTGTATTGCCAACCAGCTAAGCAGCAGAGCTCGTCTGTCGTGTCTTAAAACTCACGCATTCGAGCAAGAAACATCTGTGGGACCAGTCCAGACAGGATGTGAGGGCACTGCTCATGCATCATTTTAAAACAAGACAGTGAAGTTTAGTTACAACTCTGGACTAATTCAAGATGGGAAGCAGTGGATTCACATTGAATATTAAAATGTTGATTAGCGGGTCAGACTGGGCAATATGGATGCACATCTCAGTAAATAAAAAGCATCAAATATCCAGCCCAGTCATTCTATAAATAGTATTTTACATTTGAAAATGTATTGCAGGAAACCTGGAGGAGCCAGTTTGAATGGGCCTGCTGCAGTAGATAACATAATATATAGAAAATATCTAGAATTCACAGGAGCTGTGCTGACAGTTGATCCACATCCAGTACCAGCACAGACCCAGTCCAGAATTCTTAAGAAGGTCACACAGACCCAGTCCAGACGTCTTTAGCAGGTCACATAGACCCAGCCTCAGCCAGTACGAGCACAGCCACAGATGTACAGCCAGCATCAGATACGAGCACCTCAGACCCCAATGGAACAGTTGCTGCTCCACCAAATGACCCAGCAGATTGGCCCCCAGTCTTATCTGATTTCATTAGGTCTGAGTTAGTGCGCAGAGGTCTGTTCAAACCAGCACTGGACTTTTCTAGAAGAGGTTCCCATTCAGGCTTCTTACAGAGGGAGGATTGTAGTGAGAGCATTGTGGTGTCAGGCGTGACTGTGCAGCATACCGGCCAGTTGTAGCCAGTTTGTGACCGAGTGGTAACGTAGCTGGTAGAGTTTTGCAATATAAACATCTGAAAACTGAAGCCAGCTTTGCTCTGTTTGGGACTGTGAGCTGCACTTTATGAGAGGTGCTGAAGTTAACATGTGTGTGGATTTTTGGTGAGATTATGAACTGTAGTTCATAGTGTTTGAGTTAGTTTTGGTTTCCGCCTCCTCGTCTCATCTTAACATCTCACCCAAAGTCCCAAATGGGGTTCTGTGTCTGTCAAACGGTCTGAAGGGGATCCCCTACCACACCAGCAGAGCAATAATGCAGACTTATCCTCCCCACATATAGGAAATATCCACTTGTCCTCTTGCGACTCAGTTTTCCTTATTGTGATTCACTATAACTTATAATGCTGTATTCAAACCTGTCTTGAGTGAAATTAAAATGATAGATTGCGTTTTGTAAGATCAATAGATTTTGATGTGTAGTACATTTATTTTTGATTTGACTACTTACTAAGTATTTTTAAAACCAGGTACTTTCTTACTTTTACTAGAGTAGGTTTATACTGGATGACTTTTACTTCAGTAACATGTTTCATGTGGTATCTGTACTTTTACTTAAGTATGAAAATTGAGTACTTCTTCTACCCCTGCGTAGCTGTGCAGAGCAAATGACCATATATGGAATACCGGCTCCGTCTATCTCCGTGTCATAGAATGGAGCCGTTGGTAGAAAAAGGTGTTCAAAACAGAGTGTTCAGAACAAGAGGAAATCTGAGGTTTTGGCTCACAGGGATTTCTTTTAAAAACTTTTACCTCATTATTTGAAGCTTTGACCGTGTTTAACATGACCTTCCAACATTGTAACATTGTAGATTAGTGATAAAATATGGAAAAGCATAATAGGTCTCCTTTAAATTAATCGGCAACTATTTTAATATTTGATTAATCTGTTGGAGTAATATACAATAAAAAGTCTAAATTATCTGACTTTTTCTGGTTTCTTTACTCCTCTATGACAGTAAACTGAATATCTTTGGGTTGTGAACAAAACAAGACATTCTGACATTTTATAGACCAAACAACTAATCGATTAATAGACAAGAAAAATAACTAGTTTCAGCTATAAAAGCTATCATCAGACCTGCTGCGCACACATCCTTCATTCTTTGTTTGTAAACAGGAAATTCCTTTTTTGTCAACATGGGTCTAATTCAGTGTTGGGCAGTAACGCATTACTGTAATATTATTACTTTTCCCAGTAAAGAGTAGTGTAACCAGTTACTTTTCTAAAACTAATCCAAGTAACGCTGCGTTACTGCACGTAACATCCTTGACGTGAATGCACGACTGTGCGGCAGCTCAGCAGCACTGGACTTTGTTGTTCATGTCAGCTGATAGCCAAAAACTAAAGGAAGAAAGGAGAACGAGGAGAGAGGCGTTCTTTCCACAGCTGTAAGTAGCTACTGCCATTATTGTGTCACAGTCTAAGATGCAAACAATATTGCCGTCTATTGTAAACTTTCTGTGACCGGCAAAAAGCTTTCAACCACGAACAATTCTACATTTAATTTATGGAAGCATCTGCAGAAGCAGCGCAGCAATGTGAAACTTACATAAAGAAACTTTGGCAGCTGCTGCCACTGATGCCTGGACTCGTCTGGTGAGATTGGCGTTAATGTAACGTTTTGTAAAAATCCTGAATACTGCTCTTATAAATAGTCTACATGTGCAGAAAAACAGCTGTTCAAAAGTCGGGATTTTCTTGCTTTATTTTTTTTTTTCAGCCGGTGGAGTTAAGAAACGTTAGGCCTAGGCTATATGCTTTGTAAAAAACACACTCCTTGCGGCTGTTATGAATATATTAGTTAAATATAAAATATTAATTAGTTTTTTTATACCAAGTGCATTTAAAATCGTATTTGATTGAGTTGTATTGAGGAGCATATATTCGTGCAGCACCTCCTCTCGCTAGCTCGCTCCCTCTTTCTCTCCCCCTCTCATGAACACCGCTGTACAAACCTGTCCAAAATTAGAATATACTGGGTTGTTGAGATTAGCGACAAAAATATGCGAATAAAACACAAAGGTTACTTTCATTCTCCACACAGAAGATAACGCTGGGGTCAGAAGTCCAACTGAAGATGATCACATTAAGAAGAAGTTTAAACTTTTCATTTCGTGTAAGAACAAGTGCGGTTTTTCGGAACTTTTAAACATTTAAAAAAGAAAGGCAGTGTGTGCTGTGCTCACATACCCCAAGGACAACTTCCATTAGCAGTAGTGAGTCCATTAGTGGTCTAAGTGACAGCTGCTCAGTTACTTAATGATGGATGCAGAAGTCACATTTCTACAGTAATTGCATCTGTGTTCTTTCCACAAAACCAAGTGTGTTTCTGTACATGTTTTGGTTGTGTGTGTGTGTGTGTGTGTGTGTGTGAATCCGGAAGTAGAGGATTAGTGAATTAAAATAGAAGCTTATGGGAGACAGAAAAGAGCTCAAACAACAGAGATTTATCACCACGGGGCTTTTTCAATCTCCAATCTGAACACACTGAGCCTGCTGTCTGTTTTTGTGTAGTACTGTACAGAATGTGCGCGCACTTACACCCAGCATGTCGTCAGAGTGTGGTCTGTCCTGGGGGATTTTCTGAAGGCAAGAATCGATAAAGTTTCTAAAATATTCCGTCCTGCAACAAAGATGACAAGATAGAGAGTCAGTACAAAAACAGACACCTATACTGATTTAACAAAAAGTAAGCATCATCCTTTTAGCTACAAAACATACTGTACATCATAATTACAATAATGGCCACACAAAACTAGAATTACCGCCCCGCAGTTGTATGCCTCCCCCAACCAGTCAAGTTGCAGTTTACAGCCACGTCTGTCCAGACTGATAATACATGTAGTGAAAACTTTGAAGGAACTAAATAAAAAAAGTGTATTTTTTGGCACTATAATGATGATGATGATCATAATGACGATTTCAGTGAACATACATTGTTGAACTGATTAATGAAGAATTATACACGTACACATGCACTTACAATTCTAAACAGTTCATCCAACATTCAAATGGACGTTTGTGCTAAATTTGAAGAATTTGCCTTAAAGTGTTCCTGAGATATCACGTTCACAAGAATGGGACTGGCGTGAGGTCACAGTGACCTTGACCCCTTATAACCAAATTCTTATCAATTCTTCTGGATGCAAAGTCTTTCAGACCATGTTTGTATTTCCACATGCAGAAATCAACATACAGTATCTCACAAAAGTGAGTACACCCCTCACATTTTTGTAAATATTTAATTATATCTTTTCACATCACACAGCCATTAATGTCTAAACTGCTGGCAACAAAAGTGTCCATACGCTGCACACTGCATCAAATTGGTCTGCATGGCTGTCGTCCCAGAAGGAAGCTTCTTCTAAAGATGTTGCACAAGAAAGCCCGCAAACAGTTTGGTGAAGACAAGCAGACTAAGGCCATGGATTACTGGAACCATGTTTTGTGGTCTGATGAGACCAAAACAAACTTATTTGGTTCAGATGGTGTCAACCGTGTGTGGCGGCAACCAGGTGAGTGGTACAGAGACAAGTGTGTCTTGCCTACATTTAAGCATGGTGGTGGGAGTGTCATAGTTTGGGGCTGCATGAGTGCTGCCGGCACTGGGGAGCTACAGTTCATTGAGGAACCATGAATGCCAACATGTACTGTGACATACTGAAGCAGAGAATGATCCCCTCCCCTCGGAGACTGGGCCGCAGGGCAATATTCCAATATGATAACGACCCCAAGTAAACCTCCAAAACTACCACTGCCTTGCTAAAGAAGCTGAGGGTAAAGGTGACGGACTGGCCAAGCATGCCTCCAGACCTACAGTGGGTACGGAAAGTATTCAGACCCCTTTAAATTTTTCACACTTTGTTTCATTGCAGCCATTTTCCAAAAACCAAAAAAAGTTCATTTTATTTCTCAGTAATGTACACTCAGCACCCCATCTTGACAGAAAAAAAAACAGAAATGTAGAAATTTTAGCAAATTTATTAAAAAAGAAAAACTGAAATATCACATGGTCATAAGTATTCAGACCCTTTGCTCAGTATTTAGTAGAAGCACCCTTTTGATCTAATACAGCCATGAGTCGTTTTGGGAAAGATGCAACAAGTTTTTCACATCTGGATTTGGGTATCCTCTGCCATTCCTCCTTGCAGATCCTCTCCAGTTCTGTCAGGTTGGATGGTAAACGTTGGTGGACAGCCATTTTCAGGTCTCTCCAGAGATGCTCAATTGGGTTTAAGTCAGGGCTCTGGCTGGGCCATTCAAGAACAGCCACGGAGTTGTTGTGAAGCCACTCCTTCGTTATTTTAGCGGTGTGCTTAGGGTCATTGTCTTGTTGGAAGGTAAACCTTCGGCCCAGTCTGAGGTCCAGAGCACTCTGGAAAAGGTTTTCGTCCAGGATATCCCTGTACTTGGCCGCATTCATCTTTCCCTCGATTGCAACCAGTTGTCCTGTCCCTGCAGCTGAAAAACACCCCCACAGCATGATGCTGCCACCACCATGCTTCACTGTTGAGACTGTGTTGGACAGGTGATGAGCAGTGCCTGGTTTTCTCCACACATATCGCTTAGAATTAAGGCCAAAAAGTTCTATCTTGGTCTCATCAGACCAGAGGATCTTATTTATCACCATCTTGGAGTCCTTCAGGTGTTTTTTAGCAAACTCCATGCGGGCTTTCATGTGTCTTGCACTGAGGAGAGGCTTCCGTCGGGCCACTCTGCCATAAAGCCCCGACTGGTGGATTGCTGCAGTGATGGTTGACTTACTACAACTTTCTCCCATCTCCCGACTGCATCTCTGGAGCTCAGCCACAGTGACCTTTGGGTTCTTCTTTACCTCTCTCACCAAGGCTCTTCTCCCCCGATAGCTCAGTTTGGCCGGACGGCCAGCTCTAGGAAGGGTTCTGGTCGTCCCAAACGTCTTCCATTTGAGGATTATGGAGGCCACTGTGCTCTTAGGAACCTTAAGTGCAGCAGAAATTTTTTTGTAACCTTGGCCAGATCTGTGCCTTGCCACGATTCTGTCTCTGAGCTCTTCAGGCAGTTCCTTTGACCTCATGATTCTCATTTGCTCTGACATGCACTGTGAGCTGTAAGGTCTTATATAGACAGGTGTGTGGCTTTCCTAATCAAGTCCAATCAGTATAATCAAACACAGCTGGACTCAAATGAAGGTGTAGAACCATCTCAAGGATGATCAGAAGAAATAGACAGCACCTGAGTTAAATATGAGTGTCACGGCAAAGGGTCTGAATACTTTTCTTTTTTAATAAATTTGCAAAAATTTCTACATTTCTGTTTTTTTCTGTCAAGATGGGGTGCTGAGTGTACATTACTGAGAAATAAAATGAACTTTTTAGATTTTTGGAAAATGGCTGCAATGAAACAAAGAGTGAAAAATTTAAAGGGGTCTGAATACTTTCCGTACCCACTGTAAACCCTATTGAGCATCTGTGGGGCATCCTCAAACGGAAGGTGGAGCAGGGCAAGGTCTCTAACATCCACCAGCTTTGTGATGTCATCATGAAGGAGTGGAAGAGGACTCCAGTGCCAACCTGTGAAGCTCTGGGGAATTCTATGCCCATGAGGGTTAAGGCAGTCCTGGAAATGAATGGTGGTCAAACAAAATATTGACACTTGGCCCCAATTTGGACATTTTCACTTAGGGTGTACTCACTTTTGTTGCCAGCGGTTTACATATTAATGGTTGTGTGATGTGTTATTTTGAGGGGACAGCAAATTTACTCTGTTATATAAGCTGTACACTCACTACTTTACCTTGTAGCAAAGTGTCATTTCTTCAGTGTTGTCACATGAAAAGATATAATCAAATATTTACAAAATTGTGAGGGGTGTACTCACTTTTGTGAGATACTATAGATGTATCCCACTTGTAGAGAGTGCTTTTTCTAGGTTTTAAACAACTAGCTACTGCACAAGCTTCCCCATGTCGTGTGTGTGCATGTGGCTCCTCACCATTCACTTGATTGCAGTGTTGGGCTCTCATTCTGTGCTATGTGATATAAGGCACTCATTGCATTCATGTTAAACAAGGGAGGCTTCCTCTCCGCTGGAACAGAAAATAGCAATGGATTAAAGTTTTAAATTTGTTTTACTGCCGAGTTCACACACAACTGATTTAACCGAACCTTAAATCATATCCATCAAACAAATTTTAGACAACATTTCTAAAGTAGATGTTGTTACTGCTGTAGTCCTTATACTCAACAACCTGTCAATCATTTTGTCAGTGACCGCTAAGTTTACAGTCGTTTTTAGGAAAAACTGTTGTTTCTGCTGCAGGTAATTTAAATATAGACAACACACACATACTGTCACCTACCTAATTCTATACAGGTGATCCCTAAGGACCAGATATCCACCTTCCCATCATACTGGCCCTCGTCCATAGCTAGAATCACCTCCGGTGCCATCCTGGATGAAGTGGTGGAGAAGGATAAAGTGGGTGGACAAATAAAAAGGAGGTTAAAAGTAATTAAAAAAAAAACAAAAAAAAAGTACCTTTGTTTTACTACAAATCTCCAATCTAAAAGGCACTGCCACTTTATTCTTAGGAATTAAATAATGGTGTTTTTCATTACTCATCTAAGTTTCTCAGCGGCATAAATAGCAAAGATGTAGTGACAAAACAGATGGCAGGTGAACTCATCAACCACAGCACTGCACTGTTCAATCACTTTACAAGACAAATGGTGATTGATTGCGCATATTGCGTTGACGCTCGTAATAAATACTAAAATAAAATTAGGGCTGTACGATTTGGAGTAAAAGTCATGTTGCGATTATTGTGAACAATATTGCCATTTGTTTATATTGGAACAAATGGTACTATGAGTCTACTTGCTTAATTATCAAAGAATGTGTGAAACACTGACATTTTGAAATGTGTATTTCTCAACTTGAACAAAGTTAAACAATATTTATAACAAAACAGAACATGGGGAGCGTGTTGCTCTACAGAGAAGGCAGCTTGAAGTAGCACATATTGGGACACTGGCACCGGCTCAACGTACATCTGTCTAATGCAGAGTCTCTATCCACAACCTGGAGGAGGAATTGTATACGGTATAACAAATAATATACTAAATTATAATTTCATATAATAGTAGTATACTATTTTACCACTATACAAATATTAAATCCAGTTTCAGCAGTTACATTTCTGTGGGTTGTTTTTATTCATTAAATCCTTAAAAAAAGTAAAGTAGTATCTTAACTGCTCATAAATAATTTTTCTCATTGTACATTGGCTTATCTGTTTTTAGGGGCACATGAGGAGAGCCCGGTGTAGGCAGAGATAATGAGAAGTCAGTGACTTCACAAAGAACAGAGCGTCACACACACTTTTACTGTTTTATTAAATCGCATACTTTTTGCGGATATGTAATTGCACATGACGACATCGCGATTGTGATTAAATTAATTGTGCAGCCCTAAATAAAATCTAGCGCCACACCCCTAGCTATATCTTCTTCCATTTTCTGTAAGAGGAGTATATCATGTTGAGGTGAAGTCTAAATCCTGAGCATAGATTATCCCCATAAATCACAGCACGAAATCATTTCAATCAGCAGGAAGCTTTTCACTTATATATTTATACATGCAAATAGAGGCAAATACTTTTCACAGTCAAACCCATTTCATGAATCAATGCTTTCTTAAGCACACACTCTGTTAGATACTGCTCACAGAGTCAATATTTTAGTCAGCACCACATTTAACAAATACACAGACAAGTACTTTTCTTTCAGTTTCCCATTTACCAATATGGCGTTCCCACAAAGGAGTTGGCAGGTGAGGCAATGGAGGCAGAGCCAAAGTCTGCCAGTTTGACCAGCCCAGGCTCAGTCAGCAGAATGTTACCTGCCTTCACATCCCTGAGAGAGAGAAACACATATGTGTGACTGAAAGCTGGGGGATATGAGAGGTGTAAAGTGTTTACAGAAGCTTCTTAAAAAAACAAAAATGTAAAAATGTAAAACTCACTCACCTGTGGATCATATTGTGGGAATGAAGGTAGGCAAGCCCCTGCAGAGCACCATGTGTAATGGCAGCAATCTCTACTTCCTGTAAAGGTTTTTTATGAACTGAAGGAGGGAAAACAGAGCAACACCAGCTGATTTAGACACATCATTGCTGTGACACACATACAAAAAAATAAAATAAAATTACACAGAACACCTGCTCACCTTCCAGCAGATCAGAGGCTGAGCCAAGACAGTACTCCATCACCAGCTAGAAACAAGAGATAAAGTCAAGAATAACAATGTATAGACATACAGGCCCTCATATATTGCATGTAAACAGGTGACTTACCCATGCTGTGTGCTCACGGAGGTAACAACCTTTGTATTCTATACTGTTAGGGTGCCGGATCCTCTGAAGAAACTTCACCTCCTTTATAATGTCTTGCCATTTCTGTTGGGTGTAAAGAAGGTTTTCAAAATAAAACAGGCAATGCATTGGTTGGCTTTCTGCACTAGAATTGACTAGATCTGTATTTGCATAAGATTGTCTTTCAGTGCAAATTGGGGTAAAGTGGTTCTCTTCACAGATTAATTTGATTATAGCTAATCAGAAATCATGAACAGAATGAACTGTATCTGGGTCGACAACACTGAAAAGGAAGCACACAGGAGTGTAGGGCTGGGGCGATTCAGCAGGGCATCCCCCCGGAGAACAAGCTGCAGTTTAAAAAAATTCACCTACGAGTATGATCATCTAAAGTTAGGGAGTATTTTAGACAGAGGCAAAAAAATGTGGTACCCTGCAGCTCTGTAAACTGTAAGTGGCACGAACATCTGAAGAAAAAGCATCCCCGGGCACTCTGTCAAGACAGCAGCAAGACAGCCCGACATATCCTGTTTATTATATGTCCCTACACAAGCATGCTATATAAGAAAGGCTGATTTTAAAATATGCTACTATTATCATTATTCTAATTGGCTTTGTGTCTCTTTTTCAGGATGATGATTGAAATATTAAAAATTAATGTTTTTGATATTTAATAACATAAAAATTAATTCTAGATAAATTAATTGTTATATTAACCAAGTAATGAAAAATCTTTGGCATAGTCGATAAATTAGTCATTGGATTAATGGACTGATCCAAAAACATTGTAAACAGTGTATTTTTGAGGGTAAGATCTGGGTGCTGAACCTGTAATAAAGTTTAAAATAATGGTTAGGTGCAGCTCTACAGGAGTGACTTTGGTGAGACAGTAAGGTTCAGTGATTTTATATCAGAATCACAATGATACCAACATGAATACTGTAGTCCTGCAGCTTGTGATCTGGCCTTGGGCTACCTGAAAATACTTAGAAGATAACCAAAGGATGGAGGGATGAACCATGAGGGATTCACATTTAGCAAAGTAGTTCACTCACTGATAAAAGATAACTGGTAACATAATAATCATTGATGATATCTGCGTTTAGGATTTGTTGCAAACATCATATGAAGATATCAAGATCTTGTACTGTTAGAATGTGGCACAGAAACGACTACGCCAAGAGGCGTACTGAAGTGCACAGAAGCCATGGTTTGATACAAATCAAAATAAATCAAATCATTTATTAAATGTTTCTTTAAAAACATGTGAGCGTGTCATAATAGAAGTTGTTTTTTTGTTTTTACCACAGTCTGCTGCAGTGCTGCTGAGTAAACATAGTCGGTTCTCTAAATTTCCTACTTCATGGCCGGTTCTTTATTCTCTACATTGATCAAACAAGCCAAACTAATATTAAGTAATCCATATTTCACATTTCCATTTATTTGTGCTCAAGGTCACGTCACATGACCGTGAGCACAAGCGTAAGAAGTTAACAGTGACTGATTTAAAGTAGAATCCTTCCTGTGTAGTGTGAAAATGTTTATGGTCAAGGTCTGAACTATTACACAAATATAATCAATCCTGTCTCACCTCATTAGACTGTTTGCCGCTGTAGGACATCTTTTTTATCGCCACCACCTCATTCGTGCGCACATCCCGTGCCTGGGAAACACAAAATGTCAGTAACAGAACATTTTCAGCGCAAATTTTAACCATAACATACAGTGCATTTAATTATCTGTACATTTTCTCTCATTCTCTCTTTTTAACCACGCTGGTGCAGCATTCAAGAACAAAAAGTCAGATCAGAAAGCTGGGAGTCACATCACATCACTGCTGTACCTTGGCGCTATTAAACCCCTGGTAAAAAACTAACTTTGTTCAAATTGTTTCTGTGCTTTATGGAGAATCAAATAGCTTCACTTTTTATAATTGTCCGACAAACTATGGCACATCGTAAGCCTTGAGTTACTGTATTATTTACAGAAAGGAATAAAGCAGCTAATGAATCTATATACTGAACAAAGTTGACTCTGAACTTACTGTTTCCCTGTGTTAAACTGATATCATATCTCTGATTAACTATAATTTCTGTTAAGTGCATTTCTCTTCTGTATGAGTTAGTTTAAAGATGTAGTTGCCGTACAAAGTAGACAGCGCCAAAGCTGCCATGGCCAATCTCTCGAAGGTCAGAGAACAGCTTCTCCGGGTCTTCTTTGAAGAAAAGCTCAGCCACCTCCGGATCCTTCAGGCTGCCTGCCCTTACAGAGGAGGGCATCCTGGTTAATGTAGTCCCTTATCGCCCACGCAAAGGGGACGGGACTATCTGGGTGCTGAGCTACGCCAAAGCAGCTGAAGATTCATCTGCAGTAATGGATGGGCCTAAGGAACCAGCACATGGGCACCTAGATGAACAGAAGGGGTGAGGCGAAGACAAAGAGAAAGACAGAGGTGTTAGCAAGGACAAGATGAAACAGCGTGATCCATCAAGGTATGAGGAAGAGTCTATCTGCTCAGCTGATGTGAGTTTGAAAATACCAGTAAACATTCATGGTCAGACTTTGAGAAGAGAAGAGGAAATCTCAGCACAGCTTTGAGCTTGCGACACAAATTCAAATCTTAAATACAGCTGCAACGATTATTTGTCAGCTATTAAATTAATCACCAAATATTCTGATAATCAATGAGTCATTTTTTAAGCTTCTAAAATGTGAATATTTGCTGGTTTCTTTGCTCCTCTATGACAATAAACAGAATATCTTTTTGTGTTGAAGAAAACAAGACATTTGAGGACGTCATCTCGGACTTGGATTTTCCACCATTTTACAGACCAAACAACTAATTGATTAATTGAGAATCTCAACAGATTAAATCGACAATGAAAATAATCTATCATGTTTTATTATAGTATAGACAATTAGAGTCACATTTTATCAAAGTCTGCTCTTTATTTCAACTGCAACACACCAAATATAAATTACAAAAGGAGCTAAAAATAAAATGCTTTGATACGTAGCTTGGAAAAAGGCTGCAATGCTTCACAGTAACTCTGCATTGGCAGGACCTGAGCCAGCCTGTAATTTTTTACTTCAGTGATTTCATGTGTTCATGCACAAAACGTAGCCATATCCAAAACACACACACACACACACACACACACACACACACACACACACAAAAAAGGTATTGGGCTACATAACGCTGCCAGTTTTCATGAAATCACTTCTGAACTAACTTTGTATGGTGTATGAGGGGATTTTATAAATGTTAACTTAAGGGTGACCCAGGTCTGGTAACAATATCTTATGTCCCTTATTCATTACACAAACCTGCCCAGCAAACATCCCGAATTGTGACTGGCACATAAGTATCCCTATCCCACGGATATGAAACAATTGGTAAAAAGACACGGGCAGGGCTCCATACATCTCATGCCTCACTTGGTGGCATTCAACACAACACTGGCTAAACAGCGCACACACAGTTTCTTCAGAAAGGTCAGGGTAAGAACTTTAAAACACAGTGATTTTAGCCGCTGGTCACACCTTCAAGTGCTGACCCGAATATAATCTACTAACTGCAGAGTCATCAACAGTGCATCAGTTCAGATTGCTTCAGCAGTTATTGTACATCTGTAAGCTACTGGAACGACTGGGCAACACAAATATCCCAGCTCAAGGATTGATTTCATGTCCACTGGCTATGGAGGTGGCCTAACTGTAATGAGGGGTGAGCAGCATCGGTGATCAATTAGAGGACCTGGGGTCAAATTCTTACTGTGTACTCTAAACTGGACGCATCAATTTTGCTCTAGTTAATTCAAGTACCATGCCTGTAAGATCACAATTGTGTGCTCATGTTTTGTACCACATACTCATAATGCTCAGTGAATGTATATGCATATTGTGTATTTTGTATCTTGCAAATTCTACTGTGTTTGTGTGTGTCATAATTTCATCATTGGTGCAAGTTCATATGGCTTTAATAAGTGTTGCAAACTTCTAAAAAAGGTCTTTCCTTAGGATATAGAGCAGAAAACACCAAAAACTAAGAAACCGACAGGGTTAGCTTTCATGCCCTACATACTGTTGTAACACTGCTCTGATGTACAGTACATGTGCTGTTTGTTGTCAGTGTTTTGTTTAAAGGCTTTTGATTGGGGGTTTTGTACTTTTTTTGTCACATCAGCTTTTTTAAAGATACAAAAGATTATTTCGGATATTATTTCCAGGTTGTGACTTTTAATGTTCAACGTCTAAAAGTGACTGACAGTTACATAATTAAGCTTGCAGGCCAAAGCATACTGTATTCTCTGAATAAACACTTTTGCCTTAACAGGAAGAGATATATCAGGTCCAGGACGAGGTTAATATACTTCTACCCTTTGTCTCAAACAGTATCTATCTGCTTCATAAACTGGAATTTGACTTATGTGAAATTATGACTTGATGTTAAGCGTTTCTTAAGTTAGATATGGCCAACAAAGTTATCACAAGGGCAGGGCAGGTTAACGCGTTATTATCGCATTAATGCATTAATTTATTAACACTGACAATTATTTTCTCTCATGTTAACGCAGTTTTTATTATTATTATTTTGAAAGTCCGTTGCTCACTGGCTCTGAATACACATACAGTCCGTGGGTCACCATGGGTCACAGGAGGGGTGGGTCTGCAAATCAAAAGAAGCAGCGGAGGGAGGCTTCGGCAAACTACGTTGGATACAGCGTGTGGGAGAAGTAAGACAAGCGCATTGTGAGTAAACGGCAGCCACTGTATGAATAGTAAACCATGGCGATGGCTTCTGTGCGCTCCATAGCTGTAGCCTATTTAACATAAGTTAAAATTATAGGCTACATAACTTTACCTGATAGGCCTACATCTAGTTTTGCAGGGATGCTCTGCCATACGAATTCCCTCCTGTTGATGTCCTGATAACTATTTAGTAGTGCTGGGCAATGATTAAATTTTTTTTGATTACATTAATGTTTAAGTAATGTTTAAGTTGAGAGGTTCAAGAAATATTTTATTGCTACTGTATAAAGGGAATACCGCTGGTAAAATTTTATTTATTTGTTTAAAGTGTTTGCAAACCATGTTATTGCACTTGTGTATATAGCAGTACATTAAATTAAAAGTGTGCAATACACTACTTTAGAATTCATTATTCAATTTTGAGCATAAAAATGATTAATTGTGATTAAAATTTTTAATTGTTTCCCAGCACTAGGTATCACAATAAAAATGTCATACCATTCGATATTGATAATTATCACAATAAATGCAAATCATTATTTCTTTCAAGTATAAAGGCTGAGTGAAAGTTGAAGAAACCAGATGATTATTGTGGTTTTATTCTTTACGGTCAAACAGTGGATCACTTCACAGATAAATATGCATGATTAAAATTAAGTAAAATCTTTTATCGGTCCCTTTTCCCAAACCAAATAAATATCATAATAGAAAAATTAAGTGCCAATTTATTTGTGATTCAAATTAATTAAATAAAACATTTAAAAATGTTATTGAGGAAAATTATATCACAATAATTACCATTATTGTTTTATTGTCCATCCCTACCTTACATATAAACTCATCTGTTGTTTATCACATACAGATTGTGCACATTTATGCATGTACGCTGCCCAGTGTAACCAGTCTGATCTGTTTGTTACCGAGCAGCTCCACGACAAGTTGGGGGTTAAGGGACATTTGATTCGTTTTTAATATTACACTTTGTTTTAATATTTATTTAAATTGAATAATTTAAACATGAATATTGGGGGTGGGAATCACCAGAGGCCCCACGATACGATATTATCACAATATTAATGTTGCGATTCCATTTTATTGCGATTTTAAATATATTGAGATATATTTAATGAACGATATGACCCCTAATGAATATTTAATGAATATACATTCTCACTGAAAGTCACTAAACGATAATACTGAATTATTGCCCAGCACTTTGTTCCAGGGTTTATAATATTGACCACTAGGGTTGGGCGATGTCTACAATGAAACATCGGGATTGATGATGTCATCGGGTGCATGGGCTCGCACACCCGCGCAGGGGGCAGCAGTATCCTTGTGTTCTCGCACAGACTTCACAGTATAAAAATATTGGTAGACTATTAACTTATGTTACAAGTCGCGGTGGATATTTTACGCACGGACCAGGTAAAGCAACGGTGAACACACAGGGTGCAGATGTTGGTTTCAGTTGTTTGATAGGCTGCGTCATTAATAAGCCGAACGTGCGGCTCACCTGTTGCCGTGATAACAGATAGCGGGTGGAAATATACGGAAAACAGATAAGTTTTCAGTCTTTTATAAAACATACTGCTGATTTAGAAAATGGAGCAGGGGGGAGCCTTAAAGAATCCCTCCAACTTTTCAACCTCAACCCCTTGTCTTGTCTTGAGCCAATCCAAAACTGGCAACAACCCCCTGCATACCCAAACACCACACATATATCATTACAGAAACACTCAGTGGGAAAACTGCTATTTTTACCCTTTTGGTTTGACTTTGAGTTGGCAGCACCGCTAACCCTAGCCAGCTAGAGTTGTCAGCACAACCTGCTGTACCAAAACCAAGTCACAAGGTTTGTCCTGCTGAATCCAGCTGACAGAAGAAAACAAGAGTGAAATTCTTATAGCAAGACACACAGCCCTTAAGGATAGATATCTTAGTGGAGAGAAGCTAAAAACTGTTGCTGGGAACAAACTTTAGTAACACGAAACATTCACATTTTGTCTAATCCTGTCATTCTGCTTGCAGCACTATAGACAAACATTGTAATATATATTGCTTGGCTGCTAAATGTGTCCCAACGCCACCAACACTTTGACTGTTAAAGGCTGAAAGTAAATCAAAAAGTTTATTATTCATTTAAATTCAGGAAGCTGAACATGTTAATGCAACTGTGCATAAAACGCTGAATATTCAGGTTTAGGGGTGCTACACCTGAAATGACGATGGGCGAAATGATTTTCATTTATTCATTTTCTAGCAATGCCAATGCACTTAAGTATGCACTGTGAATATGTTGGATTTATAGAAAATCAAAAGGAGAAGCAAGGAGTGCTGGTTTGCATGGCTTTCCCTCCACAGTTAGTAGGCTACAAATACACTGAACATCTTTGAGAACATTTGAAAAAAAGAAAAAGTGAAACTACACAAAAATGTACTGTGTGCAAAAATCACACATATAAACAATCAAACTGTTTGTGTTGCAGTGAACTGTGCTCCAGTGTCGGGAATACACGAGAGAAACACGACAAGCCAATTGATATTTCTCAGCAGCAACAGACTTTGATCTACACAGTACTACTACACAAATGTGCTACCTTTTCCATCCTAAACCCTGCAGATGAGATTTAAGATACAATATTAAAAGA